GGCCAGGCGGGCCCCTGCAGCCAGGGGGGGAAGGGTGCTGCTGGCTGGCGCCGCGGGTGGGATGGCGCTGTGGGAGCCAGGCGCGCAGCTCCTGATGGCAGCTGTAAGGGACGCAGCGCGCCCCTTACAGCTGCCATCAGGCGCCCCTCATCAGTTGGTGCCCTGGGCAGCTGCCCGGCTTGCCCATGCATCCGTCTGGCCCTGGCTGCGCTCAGTGTTTTGTGATCTCTACTACCCTGCAGGCATGCACCCCTGCCATTTCAAAGCTCCAGGAAGTAACTGACAGCTGAGTGAGCTACTCCCTTTGGGGAACAAACAAAGAGCAAAGCATTGGAATGCCCCTTCCTGTTCTGCTCTGCTAGAAACACAACAGCAGGCAGGGCTGGAGAGACTGCTGTATTACTTTGACATTCCTCAGCACAGAGAGCTCACAGAGCAGCTCCGCCTTCCCACAGCACTGCACTGTGGGATGTTTATTCACATTGCTTTGCTGTGTATCAACCGGGTGCTAGTAATGTGGCCACGAAATGTTGACAATGGGAAGCAGAAAAACTGTTTTTTGACCCGTTTTCACTTTTGGCAGCTTTTGCATGTGAACAGCACTTTTGTCACCAACCTTCCCAGTGTAGACGTAACTGAAATTTCACTACAATAAAGATGGGCATCCTCTAAAAAAAGAGAGAAATTAAAAAGCAAAGTTCTCCATAAAGCACTTTATTGCTTTTAAGAAACACAGGAACTGGAGACCCTCATTTTTCCTAGTCTGTATTTTTTGCCATTATGTCCACATTCACTTTATTACAGAACACTAAAATACAAGCATTGTGCCAGTTTCCCCAAGCTTAAAAATTCATGCTCTACTAATGAGTGTCATTATCAGTGCTCAAGACTGAGTTCCAAGGTTTTCAGAATATACAGAAGAAACTTTCTTATGGTACGAAAAAAATATTATTCACTACAAAGAGTTTAATTTGTACTGGAAAGAGGAGCATAGGATCCTACTTCTAAAATGGAGCCATCCTGAAGATCTTTAAAAAGTTGGTACCAACTCACATAGGGCTTTCAGGGTCTATTTATAACTTTGTGACTCTTCAAGGATTCAATGTGGGAATGTTACAGAAGAATTCTCAGAAGCCTCGCCAAACACATACAAGTTTCCTGTGCATCGTGATAGAGAGAATCCAATCTCACTTCTCTTCCAACTCCACTGGGAGACATTTTGTTCCTGCATTACTTACCTCCCTCTACGAAGCTGCTGCCATAACTTTTCCTCTGGGGTGAAAGCATCACGGGAGTGTTTCTTCACAATGGGAATGTAGCAAGGCACAATGGCTTTGGCACAGCTCTGCACAAATTGAAACACTTCTTCTTTTGAGGGAGAGTCCAGATCATCGAAGAATATGCCCCCGATCCCTCTTCGCTCTCCTCGGTGCTTGATGTAAAAGTAATCATCACACCTGGAAGAAGCAGCAACCAGACATCAATGCTAGCACACTAAGTTCAGAGTAGAACACAAAACAGACACTAGGCATGATTCATTTAAACCATTGCTCTGGGATGGGGATGAGGGATTCAGTATGGCGGCTTTTGCAGGGAGGAAGGACTATCCCAGCCCTCTCTCACCGCAGCAACCTGGGGCCAGGTGAAATGTGCCTCTCACTCCCAGGATGGGTGTTCCTTGAATCCACCACCCTGAGCTCTCCCCAGGTGAATGCGATATCCCCTAGGCCACTCCACAACCCACCCCACCTCCCTACTTTTGGAGGGTACCTTATCCTGCTTTCCTAATGTGGGAGTAAGCTCCATCCCTGGGGCAGCGGTGCAGGTGAAAGGCCAAAACCTACAATGTACTGAATGCTTTCTTCACCCAGTGACTTAAATGAAAGCTAAAGGTACTCAGCACCAAGTAGAACGAGGCTCTACATTAGATACCATTAAAGGTTAGATTATACTCTTGGATAAAAGATACATGACACTGCTTATCTTGAAAAAAGATCAGCTACAGCACATGTACACACAAGCCCAACAGCAGATTTGGAAATGCATGGTTCTGTATGCTAACTATAGTCTGGAAGGGAATAACTCCACACCCTTCACTTACTAAGGAAACTGGGGAAAAGCCTTACCAAGGTAGAATCTGACAGAGCACTGCAGCCCTTGCTCCCAAAGCAACATAACTTTTGTAGAATTTTGCACACAGGTTTTTGCCATTTCACATTTTCCCTTAAAACATTTTCTCCTTTGTAATGTTGTCGAAATGTCATGTTTTTGCATCAAATCAAGTGCACCACATGGTTTTATGAGGAAAGCACATTCCACTCAAAAAGAAGGGCTTCTTTTACCAGGCTTTTTAAAACCATTTGAAAGATGCACAAACTTTAGCAACATTTGTCCAATAACATAGGCCCATTTTCAAGTTTGCAACAGACTGAGAAAAGCCTTGGTATCAGAGTAGCTGTGCATTTTGAGACAAAAAAAGAACAGTGCACCCCTGCTCCCTTTGGGGGCGATTTCTCAGAGATTCATCCAGTCTCTCGCTCTCTTTACTGGAATCTCATAAGATCTGTCTACAATGGCTGCTCTCAAGTAATAATAATAAAAAAGTGGAACCATACACACACTGAGATGGAGCAATTACTATACATTGAAAAGACGTCTCTCTTTTGTGGGGAGAGTCAGCTTTTTATTCTAAGATAAGTGGAAGACGAAACTTAGAGAGACAGAGCAGTAGGTCAGTGTGTGAAACTCAGCAGAGGAGCGCAGAGTACAAGCTTGATGAGAAACTTTCAAGTTAGGACAGAAATCAGCACAGTCAGTTTAAGTGTGTGCAAGCTTTTCCATTTGAGAAAGCTGGGCTCAGGGACAGTATGCATGGCCACAGACAGCTGCTTCTTACATCCAATACTGGCACTGGGCTGACTGCATAGGAAGCAAGTGATTCATCTCCCCTCCTCATACGAGAGAAAAGAGTCTATTCCTCCCTAAGTAAGGAACAAGGAAGTTCACGCTATTCCACTAAATTCTCTGCTCCTGTCTGCACACATATACATGACTTCTCATGGTTGTGCAACCTTGCTTGTAGTTATCAAGAATTTTAAGCAGACACACCCCCATACCACTGGCTGACCTTCTTGCTTTAAGAGTTTTCCCATCTAGTAAAGCAGAGGTGGGGAACCTAAGGCCCAGGGACTGGATGCAGCCCCTAGCCTGCCTGGATTTAGCCCCTGATGCTCAGTGCCCCCCCTCCCCCAGCATTGGGGAGCCCGTGCCCGTGGTGGGGCTGGAGCACACAATCTATTAGTCTGGGTCCCACTAGGCTCTGGTTTGTAAGGGAAATGTGGGGAGTGTCTTTCCCCTTCCCAGTCAGGAGGCACGTCAGTGAAGATTTGTTTTTGGGTTTTGTTGCTTCTCACTTATGTGCGACGCCCGACTGATTTTTCTGTGGGTCAGCGGCCCCCGACCCAATAAAGGTTCCTCACCCCTGTAACTCTAACACTCTGCCCAGAGAGAGGCACTTGGATCTAGCCTATTTCATAAGAGACTCCTTGAAGACTAGAACTTTGCATTTTCATTAAGTAATGTATCCCCGAGATAACAGCTAAAATGAACTCTCCCGTTCCCACCCTGCACACACCACCCACTTTATCTCTCAGACAAAAGGCCAGCAGCTTACAGAAAGAAGTTACCCTTCCTCTGGAGACCATAAGTTGTAACATTGTTCAACTGAAGGCATTGTTCAATAAATAAAGCTAGTGGCAATTTCAGCCATGTATAACTTACAAAAACATTCCCAATTGTAACCGAGTGCAAGTGTGTTTTTTAGAGTTATATCACCTAAATCTTTGACAACTACATGTGTCAGACAATGTGCCATATTGCACAGTACTATTTATTAAGAGACAGGTTGGCAACAAGTAACATTATGAAAAAAGAATAGTTAAAAACCATTTTTAGTGCAAACAGCCTATAGCCTAGTAGAAAACTCTTTTTAAATGAAGATTCCACTGAAAAGCTGCAAGCAAATGAGCTTGTAATTCTACACTTCTATCAGAGAATCTCATAGCTCTTTTCAGGGTGTAACAAACTAATTCTTCCCATCTATCTTACAGGGACATTTATTATTTTCCTTCATTTTACCCATGGAGAAAGAGAGACACATAGGTACTTGACCACAGGCCCGGCCGAAGAGCGTGTGGGGCCCAAGGTAACCTTGCCCAAGGGCCCGGCCTGCTTGCCCAAGCTGACAGGAGATCTATGGCAGGGACAGGGGATATGAGAGCAAATAGGCTACTTTTTATTTAGATGTATAAATACTGATTTAGGGAGCCCAATTTGAGAGACAGATTTGAAAAAACATTCTTCTATATGAACAATTAACATCTCCTCCAAGCATTTTACATAGATATCTTTCCAAATTTTACCCAGATCCATACTAACTGCTCCAGCTGAGGTTCAAGGGGAGCTGCTCATACATATCAGAGGGCAGAACATGGCTCTGATAAACCAAATATCTTTCTCAGCAGACACTTATCTACGACTCTCAATAGCTTCATGAGGTGAATTAAATCAACAATATTAGCACCTCCTTCTTCCCACAAACAAAAAAACTGAAACAAGCCCAAGGTATTTGAATCTGCCCACACATACCACTTCTTATACTTGGGGTACAGCTCTGGGTTATGCTGATCACAAGCTTCCTTCAGAGTTTTGTGAAAATGAACAGCATCCTCTTCATTCAAGTAAGTTGGAGTCAGATCCGTTCCACCACCAAACCACCACTGTTTAGTCCCTACAGGAGACAGGCACGCAACAACTGTTTTATTTCCAAATACAAGTCACATACAATGGTAGGTGTCAGATACAAACACTTTCAAACATTACATTCAAAAGTGCTCAAAAGGCGCAAATGCTTAGTTTAAACTAGTACAGTATTATACGGGTAAAACTGACTCAGGAATCCAGCAACTTATTAAATAAACCTCCAAGCAAGAAAGTTTGTATAGTATTATGTCAGTTGTCCTGGCTATTTCTTGGTATCAGAGCACAAGCTTAGTCCTTTGTAGTTACTCCCCTGAATGGGCTTACAAAAAAATGTCTATCAGGTTTGTAATGACAGTTAGGAGCCATATACAGCATATTAGTATAAATTAGCTCTGCAGAAGGAAGATAGCAGGGAAGCCTCTTCCTCTAAAACGTTGTTTTGCAAATTTTGGTCCATGGGTGGTTGGTCACATGTTATTGACTCCTTGTGTTCTATTGCTAAATGTCATTAAAATAAATTAAAAGTCACCACAGTTCTTTCCTAATATTGTTCTTCCACAGTGTAGTTGTAACAAGAAAGTTATGGGACAATGAATGGAGATGAGGCGAAGTAGGTGGCATGATAGTGAAGAGAGGTGGTATCCATAGGGTCTGCTGTGACTTATGTGACTGGATATTTCAGTGTCAGATTTATGCACAAACTAAGATAGATACACTTTAGGGCCTCAGATTATGAGGGACCCCTAAATAAAAAAAACACACTAGTTTTTAGATGAATCCTACCTGTATACAGGTATATATGCAAATTAAAAACTTTATTATTTATATTTCCATTGTCCTTTCTTTTAGAATGATACACCTTTTTTTGGTAATGTGATGGGGCCTCTTAAACTTGACATAGTTTACGGCCTGAGCATGTATTAATCTGGCCCTGTTTGGAGTGCACAGTCGCATTTCAACTAGGGATGTTAAAATGTGTTTATTTATGTAATCATGTAACCACTGAAAATTCCAGCAGTTAGACGCGGGGGAGGGAAGAGAGTGCAGGTGGCTCCCACCTGTCGCCCTGCACTGCTGCATGTAACCGTGCATGTTAATCAATGAGCCTGGGTTAATCCGTAAACTGTTAAAATGTTAACATTTTCACGTCCCTAACGTCAAGATTTTTAATCCCCATCATTCTTAAACACAGAGAAGGACAAAATCAGTCTGGTTTGCAATCACCAGTCACGGAAAAGTTTCTAGGAGATTATTGGCATGTGTCAAATATTTATGTTATTGTAGCTTATTGTGACACAACGGTAACATGTACATTACATAACCACATTAGTCAGAAACAAGTTTAGCACTAATTTTACAGCTGCATAAATAAGTGGTTAAGCTATGTCAAGGTTAAGTGACTTACTCAATGCTACCTAACAAATTTGTGGCATAAGTGGGAACAGAATTTGAATTGTTTGTAATCCTGTGCTTTACCCACTAAATCACATTCCATTCTTATAGTTTGTCTCCACATTTGCACACGCCACAAAAATCATTATAAATCTTACCATCAGCTTCCTCAATTTCAAAGTATCTGTAGTTGAAGTGTATAGTTGGAACATGAGGATTTTTTGGATGGATAACGGAGCTTACACCCATGGCACAAAAAGGCAATTTACCTAAACAGCAACACATACATAAAAAGTGTAGTTAAGAAGAGGAACAACTTTACATGCAGCACCTTTTATCCTGACGACTTCCAAACTATGACTCCAGTCCTGTGACTGGCTCTGCATGGAGTCTCATTGAAGTCACCATGTCTACTAAACATCTCTGACCATAGGGGCTAGCTAAAGAATTGGACTCTAATTTAGTGAATGCTGAAATAGAGTGCATGAGCAATTTCCCCCTCCAAAAAAAACAGCGACATTTGGAATTTGAGAAATTCAAAGCAAGTTTAAGTTATCACCAGTGAGCTGTCACTTGACAGCGTATTTATGGTCAGGAAAAAAAAAAGACTCCAAATGGCACAATGTAAGCAAATCCCTTGCATACTTGCTCCAGCCAACCACGTGTCCTCCAAGTTATGCTGTCTTACTGTAGTGATTAAGACCTGATCTACACTAAGGGCACGTCTAGATGACGGCGCTATTTCGGGCTACTTCTGGTATCTTGAAATAGCATTTGCCGTGTCTTGACAGCGATTCCGTTATTTTGAAATAGCTTTCGAAAAAAGGGGCGCACTATTCTGACGTCCTGGTAACCCTTGTTCCATGAGGATTAAGGGACATTTTGGAATAGTGCTCTATTTTGAAATACACTCACCGTAAGATATGCAATTTGCGTAACTCAAATTGCACTGCTTATTTTGAGCTACAGGTGCAGCGTGCATACATCCTAAGAGTTAGGTTGAATTTAACACAATAGGTCAATTTTCTAAGTATTACTAGTACTGTAGGGGATCAGGAGAAACTGGGTTTTTGTATTCTGCCTTTTGTTTCAGCAAGTTCAACAACTCAATAAGTTCTAATTTATTTGAGAGAGGGAAGAAAAACAGAAACCTAAATTGTACTTTTATAATGGGGTTGTATGCAGTGTAACAGAATAAAATATTCATTCATGAACAAATGAGATGAAGGTGGAATATGCAATAGTGTAGCATTTTTACTGGATCCTTTTTTGACTTGATCTACACTTTAGAGACAAAAGTTTAAAAAATATCTTCTGGCAAACATAACGTGTCATCATATCAATGAGTCCATTTGACGTTAGAGTTGTAACAGTCCACATACCCTTTCATCTTTAATTTGGATTTTGTAAGTGCTCATACAAATTTGACTGTACTACTGTTGCTCTGTCTTGATGAGAAAAAGACAGAAGATGAAACTTATTTTGATATTCAAATCTTTGGAGATTTGAAAGTGTCTTTGGTGGGTGTTCATGCCTAGAAACTCTCATGGTATAGGAAGAGCTATAAAACACTGACAAGAGAAATAATGTCATTCTGAAATGTGGCCTTCTTCAAGATCTATTTCAAGATCTAATATGATTAGGCAGTTTATAAAAAAAAACTATAGGAGAAGCCTAGACTTATTTGTCTCCAATACAATAATTCAATAACATTGTAGACTCAATGAGGTTTTAAATAGCATGTTTTACCATTTTTTGCCTTCAGACTTTTCCCTCTGCTTCTCATCTGTTGTGCTGCTTCCTCAGAAAGATGCCCAAAAACCACAGAAACATTGACACCTGCCTTCTCAAAGATGTAGCCATCCTGGAGCACACAACTAATACCACCACCACCTGTTAAACACAAAAGAAAGGAAAGTTTGTCTCAGAAACATCTTATCCTGCCAATTCTGTAACACTGACTAGTAGCGCACAGGTGACCATTTGATCTTCAAGAGCTATCTTGACTCCTTTGTTATCCCGAATAACTACAAATGATACTGATCATAAAATTATTTAGGTTTTTTACAAATTTGCTTATGTTATTTTACAATCACCTCGTGAACCAGTGACTTTTATAGGCTTACTATAGATTGTCTGAAGTTTCTAGAGAGCCCAATAACTCTGTCAGTGGAAACACAGACAATGCTGGAGTTGTTAGAACCTGGCTAGAAACGGAACTATAACCCAAAGTCCCTTGTAATTGCAAGTAGAAACAGATAGACATATTTTGACTTCAGATGTGCAGCTTTGTTTTCTCCATA